GGAGCGCTGGCAAGCGGGGAAAGCGAGAACGCCCAAATCCATCAAAAGCCATCAAACGATCATTGAATTTTACTTCCCAGTGCCCTCTTGGGGAGCCTCTCGAGTCCTTTCTGGAGCGTGTTGGAGTCCTCGTCGGCTGTGTTGCGGGCATCTTGGGCGTCTTCGGAGCTTCTTGGGACCGTCTTGGGCCCTCTCGGGACTTTCTAAGTCTGTCGTGGTCTGTTTCGGGGCGGGCCCGGGCCGCCTCGGGAGCTGAGCTCTGGACCCCCCCCACTCCCCACCCCGCGGGCACCCATGGGGGGAACAGGCAGCGGCCGGTCCCCCCTGGCCTATTCGGATCTATCTATCTATCTATATATATATATAGATCGATAGATAGATAGATAGATAGATAGATAAATAGATATATATATATATATAGATAGATAGATAGATAGATAGATAGATATATAGATAGATAGGTAGATAGATAGATAGATAGATAGATAGATAGATAGATATATATATATAGATAGATAGATAGATAGATAGATAGATAGATAGATAGATATATAGATATATATATATATATATAGATAGATAGATAGATATATAGATATATAGATATATAGATATATAGATAGATAGATAGATATACATATATACATAGATATATAGATATGTAGATACACAGATAGATGGATAGGTATATATATATAGATAGATAGATATATAGATATATAGATAGATATATAGATAGATAGATATATAGATAGATCGACGGATATTTAGATAGAAAGAAAGATATACATATATATATGTACACATATATACATAAACATATATATACATAAACATATACATATACATATACATATATAAATATTCATACACATATACATCTACATATATACCTAGATATTTCTATAGACACACCTATACGACCACCCTGCGGGCGATAAGGAGGTTGGGGGGTGATTGACGGTGATTGAGATCAAATGAAATGCTCACCCTGACTGGCCTCCAGCCTGTCACCTTGATCTCATCTCTCTTTCTCTCTGTATCTCTCTCTCTCTCTCTCTGTCTCTGTCTCTCTCTCTCTCTCTCTCTCTCTATATATATATATATATATATCAGAGCCTCGCAGTCTGCCGCGATCTGGCGCCGAACACTCGAGCCTCGCAGTATGCCGCGATCGCACCCAGGCGCCGATAAAAATGAATAGATGGATTGGGTTAGGTGGATTGGATTGGATGGAATAAGATGGATTGGATAAGATAATATGGGTTGGATTGGAGGAAATGGATTGGATAAGATGAAATGGATTGGATAAGATAATATGGGTTGGATTGGCCCGCCGCAGGCGCAGAAACAAATGAATTGATGGATTGGGTTGGATGGATTGGATTGGGTGGGATAAGATGAGATGGGACAAGATGGGTTGGATACTATAAGATGGACTGCGTTGGATAAGCTGGATTGGATCAGATAAGCTGGGTTGGATAAGCTGGGTTGGGTGGATTGGATTGGATAAGATGGATTGGATAAGATAAGATGGGTTGGATTGAAAGAAGTGGATTGGATATGATAAGATTGGTTGGGTTGGCCCGCCGCAGGCGGAGAAACAAATGAATTGATGGATTGGGTTGGGTGGATTGAATTGGGTAGGATAAGATGGGACAAGATGGGTTGGAAAAAAATAAGATTGACTGGATTGGACAAGATGGATTGGATAAGTTCAGCTTGGTTGGACAAGAAAGCCTGCCGCAGGCAACGAACAAATGAATTATGAAATCAGCGACATGCGTTAGCGCCGGGACACCCGGGACACCCGGGACACCGCCTGGCCCAACTGGGACACCTCCCGGCCACCGGCGGACGGGAAACGGACTTTCGCTCCTACTGACACCCGGGACACCAGGGACACCGCGCGGCCCAACTGGGACACCTCCCAGCCAGCGGCGGATTGGAACGGACTTTCGCTCCTACTTCGGCTTAGCTACAGGAAGATCACGCGCAGTTTCGCCTCGCCCGCACGCACGACACGAAACCGAAACCGATTTCCCGGTGGGGGGTCTCCGTTTCACTGCGATCTCACCCCCCGACCTCCGATATGGATGTATACACTTAAGTCGGGCCTGTCCCCCTACAGGGGCATTTTCGGCGAAAAATAAAAAATACCCCCCAAAAAATAAAAAAATAGCCCAACAATAGTCTGGGGACTATTGTTTGAATATTTTTGACTTTCTTGGAATATGTTTTAAATATTTTCTATTTTTCGCCCAAAATCCCCCTGTAGGGGGACACGCCCGACGTCAGTATACACGCATACCTACACGACCGCCCTGCGGGCGATAAGGAGGTTGGGGGGGATTGACATCAAATGCTCACCCTGACTGACCTCCAGCCTGTCACCTTGATGGATTGGGTTGGATGGATTGGATAGGGTGGGATAAGATAAGATGGGACAAGATGGGTTGAATAATATCAGATGGGTTGCATTGGACAAGATGGTTTGGATAAGATAAGCTGGATTGGATAAGAAAGCCCGCCGCAGGCGCCGACAAAAATAGATTAATGGATTGGGTTGGGTGGATTGGATTGGATGGGAAAAGACGGATTGGATAAGGTAAGATGGGACAGATTGGAAGAAATTGAATAAGAGATGGATTCGATTGGTCCGCCGCAGGGGCAGAAACGAATGAATTGATGGATTAGGTTGGGTGGATTGAATTGGGTATGATAAGATAAGATGGGACAATATGGGTTGGATAAGATAAGATTGATTGGATTGGACAAGATGTATTGGATAAGATAAGATGGATTTGATAAGAAAGCCTGCCGCAGGCAACGAAACAAATGAATTATGAAATCAGCGACATGCGTTAGCGCCGGGACGCGGGGGAAACCCGGGACACCGCCTGGCCCAACTGGGACACCTCCCGGCCACAGGCGGACGGGAAACGGACTTTCGCTCCTACTGACACCCGGGACACCCGGGACACCGCCCGGCCCAACTGGGACACCCCCCAGCCACCGGCGGACGGGAACGGACTTTCGCTCCTACTTCGGCCTAGCTACAGGAAGATCACGCGCAGTTTCGCCTCGCCCGCACGCGCGACACGAACACGAAACCGAAACCGATTTCCCGGTGGGGGGTCTCCGTTTCACTGCGATCTCACCCCCCAACCTCCGATACGACCGCCCTGCGGGCGATAAGGAGGTTGGGGTGGGATTGAGATCAAATGCCACCCTGACTGACCTTCAGCCTGTCACCTGGATGGGATAAGATGGATAGGATAAGATAAGATGGGTTGGAGTGGAAGGGATGGACTGGATATGATAAGATGGATTGGATTGGCCCGCCGCAGGCGCAAAAAAAAAATGGTTTGATGGATTGGGTTGGGTGGCTTGGATTGGGTGGGATAAGATAAGATGGGACAAGATGGGTTGGATAAGATAACTTGGGTTGGATCGGACAAGATGGATTGGAGAAGCTAAGCTCGATTGGATAAGAAAGCGCCGACAAAAATGAATTGATGAATTTGGTTGGGTGGATTGGATTGGATGGGATAAGACGGATTGGATAAGATAAGATGGGTTGGATTGGAAGAAGCGGATTGGATAAGAGGAGATGGATTGGATTGGTCCGCCGCAGGCGCAGAAACGAATGAATTGATCGATTGGGTTGGGTGGATTGAATTGGGTATGATAAAATAAGATGGGGCAGGATGGGTTGGATAAGATAAGATGGATTGGATTGGACAAGATGGACTGGATAAGCCGCCGCAGGCGCCGAAAAAATTGAATTATGAAATTAGCGACATGCGTTAGCGCCGGGACGCCCGGGACACCCGGGACACCGCCTGGCCCAACTGGGACACCTCCCGGCCACAAGCGGACGGGAAACGGACTTTCGCTCCTACTGGCACCCGGGACACCCGGGACACCGCCCGGCCCAACTGGGACACCCCCCAGCCACCGGCGGACGGGAACGGTCTTTCGCTCCTGCTTCGGAATAGCTACAGGAGGATCACGCGCAGCTTCGCCTCGCCCGCACGCACGACACGAACACGAAACCGAAACCGACTTCCCAGTGGGGGTGTCTCCGTTTCACTGCGATCTCACCCCCCAGCCTCCGATGTATATATATATATACACATGTATACACATCATGCATACATACACACATACACACATACACACATACAATTATACATACACACATACATTTACACATACATACATACATACATACATACATACATACATACACACATACATACATGCATACATACATGCATACATACATGCATACATACCTACATACATGCATACATACATACAAACATACATACATACATATATATATATATATATACATAAACATAAACATAACCATACGTATACACATACACATGAACATACACATGTATGCATACATATACCTACACATATCCACACACATATATAACATGCAGTCATACATATATACATACATGCATGCATGTAAACATGCATACAGATAGTCATACATACATGCATGCATGCATGCATACAAACATACATACATGCATACATGCATACATACACACATACGCACATACACACACAAGCATACATACACGCATCAGTACATACATACCTACATACACATATACATACATACATACATACATACATACATACATACATACATACATGCATACATAAAGGCATACACCCAAACATAAACACAACCATACATAATAACATAAACATACATATATATGTGTGTATATATATGCATTCACATACACATATACATACAGACATGTAATCATACATGTATACATACATGCATGCGTGAATGTATACATGCATGCATATCGTCATACATACATGCATGCGTGCATGCATACATACATTCATACATACACACATGCATGCATGCATGCATGCATGCATGCATGCATGCATGCATGCATGCATACACATGCAATACACCCGCTGCTCCTGCGCCCAGTATGGGCCTGGCCAACGGCGGTGGATATGTATAGATCTCGTCGCCCTAAACATCTCGGCCAGCGCCCGTAGAAAGCCCAGCCTCGTCGATGATCGCTGGCCTGGGCGACGGCCTCGCTCGGCTGCTCCAGCAGCGGCGCGCCCTGCTGCTGGGCGGCCAGCAGCTGCTGCAGCACGGAGCCCGCCGGCTGCGAGGCGAGCAGCTGCTGCAGCGGGTCCAGCTGTGCGGCGGCCTGCGGGAGGGCGCCAAACCTCAGGAGATCGCTCTTATTTCTTCTCGTCGATTATAGCTCGGGCTTTCGGAGGGGAGGGGGAGCCTGCGCATAACCTGTCCTCTTCGTTGTGAGCAGCCCCGCGAATGCCCGCGCGCGCGCCAGCGCTGCTATCGCCAGACCCTTGAGAAAAACAGCCTCCAGACATGCAGAGGGCACCCGCCGAACCTCGGTCGCGAAAAGAAGGGGGAACCTCTGGGCGCGCAGCGCGCCGCCAGGGGCCGCGCCTTGGTGTGGGCGAGGGGCCCGGCGCCGGCGGAAAAATCCGCCGCGGAGCGCGGACGCCCAAAGTGTCACCAGCCCTCCGTTGGTGGTTTATAGATCCTCCATCCCTCTTCTTTCCCGTCGGGGCGGCTCTCATCATTGCTCCGCCTATTACTGAGCACCCCCTCCCCCGTGGGCTGGCCCCCGCAGCCAGGAACCACGCGCTCCCCCCTCACCATCCCCGCCAACCAAAACACTCGCACGGGGCGGCAAAGTCTGGATCATGAGCGGGGCTCCCCGAGAACAGTTTGCGTCGGCTTTTGACAAGGGTGGCGGGGAGGGTGACCCTATTTGTCTCAGGTCTGCCGTGTGCCCGCCCACTGCACGCATCAAAAGTCAATGACGACAGGGATGGCGGCCAAGTGCACTGGCGCACCTGTCGCCGCATGGCGCGCCCTGCACATGTCTCGCACCTTTCGCACCTAGCGCGGGGCGCGTCTGGCGCACCAGGCGTACCTCCTCCTCCTCCTCCTCCTCCTCCTCCTCCTCCTCCTCCTCCTCCTCCTCCTCCTCCGCCTCCCCTCGTCCTCGTCCTCCTGCTCTTCCTCCCCCTCCCCCTCCGCCTCCCCCTCTTCTTCCTCCTCCTCCTCCTCCTCCTCCTCCTCCTCCTCCTCCTCCTCCTCCTCCTCCTCCTCCGCCTCCGCCTCGCCTCCGCCTCCGCCTCCGCCCTCCTCCGCCTCCGCCTCTCCTCCGCCTCCTCCTCCTCCTCCTCCTCCTCCTCCTCCTCCTCCTCCTCCTCCTCCCCTCCTCCTCCTCCTCCTCCTCCTCTCTCCTCCTCCTCCTCCCGCCTCCTCCTCCCCTCGTCCTCGCCTCCTCCTCCTCCCTCCGCCTCCTCCCCTCCTCCCGTCCTCCCTCGTCCTCATCCTCGTCCTCGTCCTCGTCCTCGTCCTCATCCTCGTCCTCGTCCTCGTTCTCGTTCCTCGTTCCTCTCCTCCTCCTCGTCCTCGTCCTCCTCCTCCTCCTCCTCCTCCTCCTCCTCCTCCTCCTCCTCCTCCTCCTCCTCCTCCTCCCCCTCCTCCCGGGAGTGAGCGAAACAGCTGTTGGCGTTCCCGTTGGAAACTTGACCCCTCCCCACTATACCCTGCCATGGGTCTGGACAGAGGGCGCCGCCAGGTGTCAGAGGATATTTCGGTATTTGTTGACGCAAGATGGCTCCAAGATGGCCTCAGGTAGCTCAAATGTCCTCCAGGATGGCGCAGGACAGCTCACGATGGTTTCTAACATGCCTCCAAGATGCCCCTAAACAGCTCCAAGTGGCCACTGCGACTCCCAACGAGACATTCAAGTGTATCAGAAGTCTTCATCAACCTAAAGGTATTCCGATGATGCTGTGTGTGTTATCGCCTTGTTGTTTCCAATGGGCGCTCCCCGGGGGGCCGCCAATGCATCCAGAGCGGCCCTGAACTAACGACTAGGGGGTCCCAAGATGGTCGAATTGCGCCGATCTGGCGTGCGAGCTTGGAAAAGCCTTTGTTTCAGCTCTGCTTGGAGGGTGAATGCCAGGGTGAGGAGTGGGACCAGTCCCCGGATCGATTCCTCTGGGGGGGAATCGCGTCCCCCCGGGATTGACTCGAGGGGTGGGTGCCGGGGCGACTTTGCCGGGGTAGGGGGTCCCCCGGGCTCCTGGACAAACTCCTGCTCGGGGGGGCCGTCCCAGGACTGATTCCAGGGGCCAGGGTAGCTTTGCCGGGGAGGGGGGCCCCGTCCCCAAATTGAGTCTGGGGGGCATCCCGGCACCCCCCGTGGCATCTCCCGCGGCACCCCCTGGCACCGCCGCGGCAGAAATCCTCTGGGCACCTTCGGGCAACCTCCTCGCCATCCCCCTCGTCGCCAGCCACTTTCCACCCTTGACCTTCCAGACTGCTAAAAGATAGCCCCGAAGAAACCCCAAGATGCTCCAGAGAGGCCCCGGGAAGCCCCAACAGGCCCCCAAGTGACCCCATACACTGTCCCCCGAGGCCCCCAAGAGCGTTTCGACCAGACCCCAAGAAGCATCCCTGAGGACTCTGACCCACGTCAGCGCCGTCGTCGGCAGCCCGACGGTGTCTGCCTTTTTGTCTTGGTGGTCACACACCACCCCCATCCTGGTAGATGGCGAATCCATAGCGACTCCTCCGCCATCTAGCTCCTCATCCCTCCTCCTCCTCCGCCTCCTCCTCCTCCTCCTCCTCCTCCATCCTTTTCCCCTTCCTCTTCACCTTCCTCCGTCCCCCTCTCCTCCTCCCTCGCATTCCTTAGCTTTTTGAGTATTCTCATCGTCGCTGTCTTCGTCGTCGTCCCCCTTCAGGGTCGGCGGCACCTGCCGTAAGGCCTTCGCAATAGCCCTCCAGACCTATAGACCTATCTGAACTGCTGAACTTCGACTGGTTTTTAAATGTCGAGGTCCTGGCGCTATGTTTTGGCCCTCGAGGAAGGTCTGGGACATCCTGCCCATGCCTAAGTCTCCCAGCACCTCCGAGGCAACCCTACTCTGCCCTGCGCTCCCTGGCATTCCTCGGCGCACCCCCCCGCATCTCCCTGCACCCTTGTGGCACTCGCTGACATCGCCCCAGCACCCGCCAGCGCCGTCTCCCGGCCCCCCTGTCACCTCCCGGCGCGGCCCAGCACGTTCCAACACTCTCCACCTCACAGCACCGCCCCCTCGGCATCCTCCTGGCCCCTCCTGACACCCTCCGATCCCCACCTCCAGCGACCTCCTGGCGCCCCTCCACGCACCTCCCTGCGTTCCCTCGGCACCACCTCGCACCGCCTCGGATCCACGGCACCTCCCCGGCACCCCTCGCTACCCCCCGCCACCGCCCGCGCCCCCCCTCTCCCCAGAGCACGTTCTGGCACCCTCCACCTGGCACACCTCCCCTGCCATCCGCCTTCTCGGACTCGTTCTCGTCCTCTCCCCCAACATCACGAGATCATATTCAATCAACTTGAAACCCTCAGCCGACATTCGCTCCGAATCGATCTCTGGACCTTTCCCCGAATCCATCCTGGCCAGATTTCGACAAAGATCGACTCCCGACAGCCTCTGGGGCCCAAAACGGGCCTGCACGGGCCTCCCGACCAACGGGTCGGGCAACTGAGCAGCCCGCCCGCAGGATCCCACAGGCCAGCCACCCGCACACCAGGCCCACTGTCCACGTAGCTACCACCCCCTGAACCCAAAGGCCCCCAACGGACAGGCCAACGGCCGACCATACAACAAGTCAAATGCCAGCCCACGGGCAGCCATACTGTGCTTTGACGACTGCCCCCCTATTTGCACAGCTGCCTGCTGCTACGCTTCCCTGATCAAGACAACTCGCATGGGCATCCTTCCTAGCCAGGCTGGTGATACGCTAAGCGTAAAGAATAAGTAGACGTGTCTGCTGACCCCTGGCTATCTTCGCGAAGAGCAGCTCGGCGGCCTTGGCCGCCACGCGCAAAGCGTGACTGCCTTCGCGCCTCTGAGGGTGACCACCGCGTGAACCGCTCAACCTTGAACGACCTCCTTCTTCGAGGTCCCCAACGCTCTCGACCCCATCTTTCGTTCGGACTTCGCTCCGCGGGTTGTCTTCTGTGGGTCCAAGGGCTCCCAGAGGGTGCTCCATTGTAAGCGCTCGCGCTGGAGTCGCCGCCGCGTCGAGACGGCGCGAACCTACCGAAGACCATCTTCGCTCAACATCGATCCCAAAACACCCGCGGACGCCACGCTGACCAGCCGTGGCTCGGAGGTCTCCCCCCGAAGTAATTGATGTGGGCTGCGCCGCAGGTTGCACGACCTGCGGACTGCGCCATGGGTTGCGCCATCCATGGGTTGCGCCAAGCTCCACCAGCGGATTGCGCCACGCCATTGCTTACGCGACACACGGGTTGCGCGATCCGTGGGTTGCGCCATGGGTTGCGTCTTCCGTGGGGTGCGCCGCAGGTTGCACCATCGGTCGGGCCGTCGGCGGCCGAGAGCAGGAACGGACTGCCACTACCACAGCACCCGGCGGCCAAGAACAAAGCGGCCTGCTGTCGGACGCGACCGGTCCAGCCCAGTCGGCCAGCCAGTGCACCTCCCGAAAACAGCGTGCTCGAGCCACGCCCGAGGGCAGCACCGAACCTCGAGCGCGCCGCCGCCGCCCGAGGAGGCGGCCCGAACCTCTGCCAGACCCCGCGGGGCCTGCAGCACCAGCGGCTGCAGCCCTCCGCCGTCCAGCGGCTGCAGCGCTTCCAGCTGCTGCAGCCCTCCGCCGCCCAGCTGCTGCAGCGCCGCCAGCTGCTGCAGCAGCGCGTCCGCGGGCTGCCCCGCCACGGCCTGCAGCAGCGCCTGCTGCTGCAGCGCCTCCTGCTGGCTCGAGAGGCCCTGTGCGGCCCGCCGACGGATGACGACGGCGACGACGGCGAGGGCGACGGCGACGATGGCGACGGCGACGGCGACGGAGATGAGGACGGAGGCGAGGACGACGCTCGTCGTCGACGACCCCCGAGATCCGACCTCGTGGAAAGTCACGTCGGGAACGAATCTCGACCGAAGCTCTCGGCCCAACTCTTGCTCATGGCTTACCGGGTTGACGGTCAATCTGGGAGGGCCCTTGCGGAGGGGCCCGAGAGGCAGGGCGAGGACACCCGCCGCGATGTGGTCCGCGATGCCCAGACGGCAAGACCCCCTCCTCTGATGTGAGGCCTCCTGGATGGGGTCGGGGCAGGTGTGGTCGGAGGATCGCGCCGCATCATCATTGGGCGTGGCTTACTGGGGGGGTCACAAATGGGGGGGTCAGAAAAGGTCCCCTTTCGTGCCCCTTTCGGGCCCCTCCAGAGCCCCAGGGGGCTCGTTTAGGTACCGTTTGGGTACCTTTTCGAACCACCCTCGCCACCCCCCCATTTATGACCCCCCCATTACGCAGCGCCCAACATCAGTGCATCGGCGATGCACCGGCAACGTCGGTGATCATGATGCCCTGGCGACGTCGGCGTGGAGAAACTCGGGCTCCACATCGAGCCGCATCGCCGATGCATCGGCCATGCGGCGCGATCCTCCGACCCCATCTACTCCGACCCCATTTAGGAGGCCAAGACCTTAGCAAGATCTCCGCTCAGAACCACCCTGACAAATTTTCCGAGCCGCCCCCCGCCAGGGCCACAAGAACTCCGAGAAAGAAAGCTATTAGCGACGCCCGCAAACCTTCAGATTTCTCAAAATCCGCCGACCCAGCCAGCGTGTGCGAGAGGCTCTTCGACGCGAGGTCAGTCCAACCTTAACTGAAGTACGCCAGCCGCCTTTGAATCGTCGTCGTCGTGAACGAATGAGGGGGATCGAACAAGGTTGAAATTACGTCGAAGGGAAGCCCCTTCCCTTTGCCCGTTCCCCGCCGAGGGGGGGTCCCGAGGGGGTCCCGGGAGGGTCCCGCCGAGAAGCGGCCCCGAGGGTCCCGAGGGAGGGGAGGGGCCTGAAGGAGTCCAGAGAGGGTCCTGATTGGGAGAGGGGGTTCTGGGGGGAGGGGGGTGTTCCGAGTGGGGGAGGGTCCTGGGAAAAGGGTTCCGAGAAAGGGGGTGTCCTGGGGGGGTTCTGCAAGAATTTCGGGCCAGGGGAGGGGGGTCCTGGGGGGGGTGTCCTGGGCGGGTCCTGGGGGGGGTCCCTCTGCCCCGGCCCCAGCCACAGCCCTGGCGCTCGGCCCCGGCCCCCGGCCCGCGCCCTGACTCCGGCCCCGACCCGCTCCCGAGGAGACGGACGGCCCTCCTCCTCCTCCTCCTCCTCCTCCTCCTCCTTCTTCTTATTATTACTATTCTTCCTCTTAGAATTATTATTCGTATTATTATTAGTGATGGCATGATTACTATTATTAACATTATCGTGTTTATTCGTATCCGTGATATGTTTATGCTTGCTAGTAGTAGTACTAGTAGTAGAAGAAGAAGAAGTAATAGTAATAGTAGTAGTAAGTAGTAGTAGTAGTAGTAGTAGTAGTAGTAGTAGTAGTAGTAGTAGTAGTAGTAGTAGTAGTAGTAGTAGTAGTAGTAGTAGTAGTAGTAGTAGTAGTAGTAGTAGTAGTAGTAGTAGTAGTAGTAGTAGTAAGTAGTAAGTAGTAAGTAGTAAGTAGTAAGTAGTAGTAGTAGTAGTAGTAGTAGTAGTAGTAGTAGTAGTAGTAGTAGTAGTAGTAGTAGTAGTAGTAGTAGTAGTAGTAGTAGTAGTAATAGTAGTAGTAGTAGTGTAGTAATAGTAGTAGTAGTAGTAGTAGTAGTAGTAGTAGTAGTAGTAGTAGTAGTAGTAGTAGTAGTAGTAGTAGTCATAGTTGTAGTAGTAGTAGTAGTAGTAGTAGTAGT